TCACTTGGCAACGAAGCCTACGCACTCAAAACCTTAACTGGTAGCTGTCGACTTATCCCCCCATACGCTCTCACGTACACCCGGGCTATGCATCTAGGCGGCTAGAGGGGGGACATTACAAATTAATAGCACAAAGACCGGCCACAGATCGCCACTGCGAAAATTTACAGGCACCAGACACTTATAGTACTACACTATAAAGGCGAGCCTTACTAACTGCGCCGATATTAAAACGATTTGTGATCTTCCTTCCTTCGTTCTTAATTTATAATGAGGTATTTATTTGCTTGGCTTTGTCTTAGTTTCTCGTTTTTTGTGAGAGGAGCTTTGTAGCCCAGGTTTTTTTTTATTTGGCATCCAAACGGAGACTAATGCTTTTCTTACCTAAGATATCTTAGCAGAAAGTGTTTAATTCAAAAGCATTATGACGCCTAAATTTCATTATTCAAGGTTATTGGCTCCAAACAGAGAAGAGCAATAGTCAAGGCTAAAAATGGAAATGTTTAGGAAACTGTCTATATAATATTCCTAAGATTTCATACTAAGAAAGTCAGAAGAGAAGGTCAAAATTTTAGACAACCAAAAGTAGAAAACGTCGTGACAATCATCCTACGACTTCAGACTAAAACAGCCTTTATAACATTTTACTTTAAGACTTCTTTTCGACAATACTAACTATTACTAGATAGTCCAGTTCAATCAAAACTAAATACAAGTACGAGTCTACAGTAAGTGGAAATGACACCACGACCTACGACTAGTAGCAGTCAGTTACGGATGGTAGGTTTTTAATACTAGGTGTTGCTTATGTGGTATAAACGGGCGTCAGTTCTTGCATTATTGAGTATAGTTCCGTAGGGAGTGGAAATCAAACAATTTTTGTTCAATATTTTTGTTAACGTTTTTTGTTTTCGATGAGTGATTATAATTATTGGTACAAGAATTTGTAATGATATGATATGGTTTCGGTGCTAGAGAATTTCGGAATAGATTTTTGTAAGCAGTAATTATAAGTTTCATATTTTCAGGGTTGCTATCGCTTTAGTGCTTTGATGATTGTTGTATAGTTTTTATTTTTATATGATGCTTTGTAGTTGTTGGAGTAAATCAAACCAGAAAGAAGGAAAAAAAACTTAATACTAATCAATTTCCGATTAGTCATTGTGAGGTCGATACGTTACAAACCGTAGCCTCGATATTAATTTAGATGTTGGAATGAATTCGTTTTCATCAACCAGTGTCCGTTGACATGCAACTGGAATCGAATACGTGAAACCCTTTTTGTCGCAACTTTTTTATTCCGTTCCAATATCATTTGTGGAGGCTTTAACGACTGCCTCTCTACAAAAGTAAGCGGACAAATTGCTTCTAAAACAACAAAAGCCGACCGGAAAAATTCACAATCGTACCGAATCATTAATCTCAGAAACAAATGGAAATCGGCCGACATCTGCTATACTCGGCTCGAAAAAATGGCTGCCATAGTCGACAGTTGTCACGTTATTCTCGACGGGATTAATTAGAAATGCGATTAAAAGCAAACAAAACAGGGAATGGTGAACTTAAATTAATGAAAAATTACCACCCTCCGAGCACTCGTCAACTCTTTTTTTTAACGGGGTCGCTGCCGCGCATTAAGCGGCTTTAATTTGAATTCGGAATTAGAATTACGCGCGCTTTATAATTATTGTTTTTTTTTTCGGCCAGTGACGGTTGATTTCTAATTCTAACGAGGGTTTATTCGGAAAGTCACTTATGATTTTTTTGTTTCGGTATGAATATGCGAAATTGGATTTTATTTAACCCACTCTGAAATATTCAAACATAGGCACAGGTAAATTGGTGTACCTGTGCGAAAGAAATTATAAATTCATTTTTCGATGGATATTTGAGAGGGGAGGACACTCGACATAATTTCTGGATGTGCAAATCTGCTCGAGTAAACAAACATTCCTGCATAAATCTGCGAATATAATATTATGAAGTTCTAGTCAATAAATACCAATAATCCTCTTCCAAGATGGGCTGACACAAAGCAATCGGAATAACAAAGTAGAATAGCAGTAAAGCTTTCAGATCGGACCTCTACATGAGATAGTACCTGTAGTCCTGTACTATTGGACTAATCTATTGAACTTTCTTAAAGTCAAATGGACTTTGATGACAATTAATTCTAGTATAGTCTTGGAAGCAAAAGCTAGAGTTGCAAGAAACATCTTGCACCACATTTTGAAACACGAAAAACAGTATTGGACCTACTAATTGAATAAAAGTTAATCCCAAGGGAGTAAGCAGAGGTGCATTAAATATAATATTCATTATTTGGCAATTTTGTAATGAGTCCCATGTTATAAGGGGTGATCCCTTTATTAAACACTAGACATCGATAAACGCCATTAACACCACCAACGGTAATTCGAATAACCCAAAATTTGAGCCAAAAATTATCAGTAGAACAACATTCGTCCAAATAACTCGTTTGATACGAATAAGTTTACACAAGGTTGGTATCTATGTATGTATGTAGGTATGCAACAGAACGAACAACTACATAACTAGAGTGAATCTTTAGGAAGGTTTATATGTATAATACATGCATATTGCATCCGTGCAAAGCCGGGGCGGGTTGCTAGTTTATAATAAAATCAATGAATCACAGTTGCCAGCTTCAATTTACGAGATACTAATACAAAATTGCAATTACTGTCCATCTGATATTACGGGTGCATTGCCAGTGACAATGTTATTAGGGATAGACCCCCAGTTTGTTGGGATTGTCTAATTTTGACATACTACGCGGTATGATTGGTTCATGGGGCTCTTTTATAGATAGGTGGACTGGGTTGTATCACAATGGTTTTAAAATGTGAAATAGAAAGTTTGAATATGGAAGGGCAAATCAAGTTTAGAACTCAAATTGTGGTTTCGAAAAAGGTCTAGTGAGGACATGAACTTATGAATTTTTATGTTCCAATACATGAAGGTTTTGTATCTTTATCGGAAGTTAAACTAGCTACTGCTGAACGGTTTTACACACTCTGCTCGGCTCCTATTGATCGTAGTGTGATTTTTTATAGCTTATAGCCTTTGTCGATAAATGAACTGTCCAACACAAAAATAATTTTTAAAATCAAACCATTAGTTACTTAGATTAGCGCGATCAAACAAAAAAACAAAAAAATGACAACTATGTAAAATATGTAGTATAAGATAAGAGTATAAAATAAATACTCTATGAAAGTAGTTATATGAACTTATATGAACGAGTCAGAAACCCCAAACTTAAGACGTAACGCACGACAACGATTCGTCCAATGAAGTACTTCATGCATATATTTTATATCTTACACGACCCCAAATAATAATGAATTTTAACAAGGTAAAATGAAAATGTCAAACAATGGTGTGAGCGTAGCAATAATAATAAGGAAATAATAAGTGATCGGTACTCACGCGGGAGGAATGATGGTGGAGTGCTATTGTCGCGTCAAGAGGGACAAGGGCCCTTCGAGGTGAGTACACACCTCCGGCTATGGTGGGTTTTACGTAATTCTGTGTTGCATCTTATTATACAAGAGCTTTATAATTTATTAAGAAGATCTCTGCTCTATTGAAATAATTTGGTATATTTATTAACATTTTTCCTTACGAAATGTTTGTGTCATTTCTTTATGGGACAAGCCCTCACAGAAACCGCTGCAACTCTTGTAAACCAGGATCTATAGTAAATACAACCATGAAAACACCGGAACACTGATCGGAACACCGGCGCATCCCAAGGCCATGAATAACGGTCTTGATTCCCGAAACGAAAGAAATCAGACGATATTATAAGAGGAGAAGAAAAAACGTCAGTGTCAGAAATTTTTGTGTTAGTCGTTAGTCGAATATTTGTCAGAACGTTCCCTGGAAAGCTTTAGATGGGTTTTAGTCCAAAACATAAGATGTCTTCTACCCTAAACTGTTCTGTTTATAAAGGAAAAACCAACGGCAGTAGGATTTTTTTGTTCAAATTGTTTATTAATCTCATTGCAACAGATTCGCATAGATTCAATCAAACATTTTACTATATGTATACATTTGATTCCCATCTTAAGCGTTTATTGTTACCAAAATGTTTCATATCGAGCAACACTTTTTGGTCTTCAGTGTCATGTTTTACCTCAAGGCGATCACAAACGTCAAGAATTATATATACACTCATAAAAGAGTTAATTTTAATAGTATATTTGTCACTTAAATAAATTTTTACCCGTTATCTCCGAGTCGAGCAAGCAATTCCCACATAATTATGCATTCAATATTTCACGCTGGAAGCAGCTGGGTAAGTATTGTTGTTTTTAATTTCAATGAACTTAATAAGAGTAAACTTAATGAATATAAATATTGTTTTTGAAAATGGAGATAAAAATCAAAGATAATGTGTATTTATATTATAACTTTTGTAGCACATACTAAATTAATTATTAGGGTACTGCTGAGCAATACTAAGCAGTTCTGAACAGTAACAGCGCGACAGTCGCCGCGTCACGTGTCGCAGAATGCTACTCATGAATATGAGCCTCTAACATGGCTTGAAACTAGTCGAGTTCCTCGTCAAATATAATAAAACATAATAAAGTGAGAATTTGTATTGTGTGAGAGATAAAATTAATCAAAACAAAGAAAAGAAGAATACTAAATTTAGATGAAGAAGTAGTTTTTATGCCAAGATCTATAACCGATAGTATTATGAAGAAATTGGTTTTGTCCCTTGATTTGATACACTTTCATATCTAAAGAGCTGAATCGATTTCAAGGTGTATCTATGGACGTGAAGACGTTTATTTGTTCAAGGCAGGATAGACGTTTTGTAGCCAAAAAATACTTAAGGTACAATTTTAAAATATCTTACATAGGCACATAATAAAAAAGATCCTTTAGATTTAGAATATTTTACAAGCCTTACTAAGTTTTCAGATCAACATGGACATATTCATGGAACTATAGAAAATACTCACGGTTTTGATTGAAGTGGGTAAACAGAGCTGTAAGCATCCAGGTATCTTTTGACGGGTATGCACAATTGTACATGTTATATTTCGATTCTAAGTCCCCGTTATATCCATGTCGATCTGAGAACGAAACAAAAAATTGGAATGTATCAGCTTCTTCTTGAATTAACTCATATATATGAGTGTCAATAATTTTGATAAGAGTATCAAGTAGACCATTCAGACAAATCTATCTTAGTAAAAATATAATTTTCAAGTCATTCAATAATACGGGATAATAGGTGTCTAGACTTAGCGATTCATTGTCATCATGTCAAGATGGACACTGGGCACAAATTAATATTCTAAATTAACTAAAAATCACAGGTTACTCAAATCACTGAGAAAAGCTCTACTAGTTTAGGTTGCGCGATATCGCTGCGTCCGCAGACGCTGCTCATGAGAAAACTCTGTGGCTCGAAACTAGTAGACCTTATTGACGTGAGTAACCCGCGATTTATAGTTAATTAATATTCCATTTGTAATCAGTCACGTAACTATTAAAACTTAAACTTTTATTAACACTCCATATCAAAATTAAAACAATCCAATACCACAGTTCAACGGCACACACAAACACAAAAAATCACCTTAATCGCCTGCGAGTAGCAATAATAGTATAAAATGAAGCGTCGACAAGTCCTTTGAACTAAATATTAATAGCAGCATAGAAACAGTGCTTTTATTACTAACACATCACACGAACAATCGTAATGGTCAAGGAAATGCAGGGAACGCGTAAAATTCCTTCTAATGTGTTATTTACAGACGACAAAGCGCGTAAATTCACAATGGTGATGATATTAAGCACGGTGGCTGTCTGCTAAGGAGTAATTCTGTTGTTAAACTTGAATATGTCTTGTTTGAAGTTACTTATGAGTGTTTCGAAATTATTGTTCAAGATGAAGCATTGGAACGTGAAGAAGTGGCTGTAGTTGGAGATGATGTTGGTGCTAATGATGATACGTTTATAGTTTGGACTGAAGATACGGATACTGTAATAGCAACTGAAATATTAGCTGCTAAACGAAAGGAAGATGAGATAGAATTCAAAGGTTCATAAGTTTCTAACTTTGTGTTATTTGTCCAACAGATAAAAGTAATTATGATAAAAAATAACATTCCAAAAATTACTGATATTCCTTTCAATCAGATAATAGTTGCAACACAGATAGTTCTGATATATATTATAACAACAGACTTCATTATCGTTTCTTCTAACAGCATCAGGTAATATTTTCTAAAGACATTTAAAGAACAGAAGAAGTTTGTGCATTAGACACACAATGCATCTCCATCAAAATAGATATTTAAATAGCACAATAGAATACTTCAATACAACGTTAAAATTGTGTGTTTATTATACTCTAGGAGATTATGTTATGCTGTGCTGTAATAAAAGCGACCTGTTTAGAATGCAAACGAGATTAGGGGATGAACAGTAAAAAGTTTGAGCTACGGTGACAGTGATGTTTGCTGCTTTCGGGACAGGAGTTAAATTTTAATGATTTTGTTTTGTTTGTGATTCATTGGGTTTGGAAATTAGATTGTCATAAGAGGTTTTATATTGATGTAAAAGAACTCCTAGTTGAAATTAGCAATATTTATAACATTTTATTTTAATTGGGGAAAATCATCGTATGACTGCTCCCGCCTCGGTGAGGGAGGGAGTGTCAGACTTTTACTGACTAAAAACCACGCCGTTCCTTCTCCTGCATAACATAGGATCAATTGCTAGTAGCTGGAAACTTATTGTTTTGCGAAAGATACTAGTCGCTTCATGTCTATTCAAGAGTCACTGCCGTTCCACCTAAATATTTCAGTGCAAATTTAACTATAAGTGTAGGTGTATGTTTACAAACACACGCCTACGGATAAGCACTTGATGATACTAAGTTTAGTATTTTCATATAACAGGAGAATTTTGACATAACTTTATTTGGACTCTGTTCATTTTCCTTGACTAGTAACAATTATTTAAGCTTCTTTTGATAATAGAAGATCAAACGGATGCTGTGTAAGGAAATTGAGTTAGCGTCCATTGTTGATATAATAATTGTTAGGTGACCCTATTTATTTAGGTTATTAAATAGTTATTTTTTTCAAAAGCGAGCTTTTTGGCGGTGATCTGTTATTATGCCTACATAGTTTTGGTTTTTTATCAACAATCTACACTTTGGAACGAGCCAATAGCTTCACTAGAAGACTGACCAACACTGTAATTATTTTTTAAATTCCAGTATTTTCTTTTGACGTTCAAAGTGCTTTCCTGATCTAATTGAAATAACTGATTTTGACTTTTGACTTTAATTCACGTTTATAAGCATTATTGTTGGTATAACCTTAAAAAGCTATGATAATCATCGAAAATATCATAGTAGTACTTGTCAAGTTCATGAATTAGGTACTCTTTAATCAGATCATCTGCCAGGTCAGTCTGAAAAAATATTTAGTGTTTCCTACTACCTAAAAATTACAACAGTTAAGGAAAATGTTGTTAAGGTACTGATGAAGATAGTTATATTGAAAGCACTTAAAATCTCTCAATGCCAATGTTTCACCTTAACCTACTTTTTGATATACTCAGAAATGGAACGAAATATCATCCCACGATTACGAAAAATCAGTATACTTCTAAAGATGGATCTTAGCAAAATGTTTTGAAAAGTCAGCAAAAATATAATCTATCGTTTAATACTACGATTATTCTAGTAACGTATGTTATAGTTACTTGGTTGAACCCATGCCATAGCTCCAGAAACGGTCCAGTCAAAAACTATAGCACCGCAAAAACATTTCTACGCGGAACCCGCCAGTGTATCGTTGAAAACGCAAATTAACCACTGGCTTTTACAAATATCGGTCAATTAAGCGGTGAGAGGGATAACAATTGAAAACAGTTTCGCTTTCATCGGGGCCAGGCATAAACGCATTCGTAAATATAATAATAGATGAAGAGATACATACATCAATGAATGTCCACTGCGTTTTCGGGCGGGTACTTTCATTTTCGATGCGCGCAAAGCCCATGATTTTGGCTTATTGGAAATTGCGATTTGGTATTTATTTTTCATTTATGCGCGTTTCTGTTTTTGTTTTATTAGGTTTTTCCTGTTTACGCTACAGTTATTTGCGCGAATTGATGGTGTTTTAGTTCATAAGTTAGGATTTGAATGTTGATCTATTTAGCTGCGAGCTGGTAGGTAAATATTTGTTGGGAATTGACCCTGGTTAGATTTGTTTAATGTTGACATTAAGTAGTTTTTAATACTATCAAGAAACGAGTACCTATAAAACTTTACCAATAATGAAGTTTTCATTTAAACATGATTCAAAATTTTTCCAAAAACTCCTCTTCGAATAAATCAATATACACAAAAAATAATGCTTCCTATTAATTCATCCGTTTCTGATATTAGCGCTACATTTTTATTAAAAGACAGAAATTTTAATGCTCAAAACAATTCAGTAGCATTACTCAATTGATTCCACAGAGTAAATCAACAAGCATTGTCCCAAATACATTGAGCGTGGTTGGTCACCCCATCGTTGGCGTTCCCTGCCAATCCCGCGTGATCGCCGCTGACCACACGTTTGTAAAATGTGGATAATTATTTCAGTTTTGTATTAAATGTCAATTTTAAACTGTATGTTTTTGGATTTCTGTTGAATTGACAGTTGATGACGACATGCAATTAATTTTAAAGGTTAAGTAGAGAAAATTATTTATTGGCTTGTCTTTTATGGGTTGTCGAAGAATTGTTGGGGCAGAATAATTGTTTTTAAGGTATTTTCTATGGATATTTTAGCTGTCATTGCATTGCTTTTCATTGTTAAATGTGTATGGTGATATTATAAACTTTTTATTCCTTCCTAGCTTCAATCAAAGCTTTAAGTTTTTTCAAAACATACCTACATTATGACAATTTTTTTTTATAAGAAACCCCTCGCTATTATTTTCTCCTGTGTCGTGGGTGCGTTTACAAACACACAAGTTCACATACACATGACACCCAGACCCAAAACAATAATCTGTGAATCACACAAAGTGTTGTTTCGTGCGGGAATGGAACCCGCAATACGTTGCTCGGCAGCCGTTTGCCGGGCCACTGCACTAATCGTGCAGTCAAAATAAAACCGTTATTCATTTAAATCAATTAACAATTAAATAGAATCGTGACATTAGTAGCAGCCAGAGATTTTACGAATAACCAAACAATAATTCAACATCTGTGCAATACTCACCTACTGCACAATGGTTGTACAATCATAAAAATTGCTCATCCATAAAATAATCTTAATAATAATATGCATTAACATCTATCCACATTCTAATACCAACTCTCTTATCTAAGAGTTAAGGTTGAATCTTAGTTGTTCGTGTCTTCTATTCATTAGTAAATCGAATCAAAGGGTTGGCAAATCCAAGTTCTATTGTTAACAGTCACGCGTCTAACTTAGTATTAAGTATCCGTGTTTTTATATTTCCGTTGCCATAGAAATTAATGATTTACATTTGTATAGACGTTACATGTTTATAATAAGGTCTTATGCCCATCGATGTTAGAAAATCTATTTGGACGTTCAGCTCGTTTTGTTAAACATTTTTTGTAAACAATTTTATGTTCTATGTACTTTTTAAATGAGTCTGTTTTGACAGTTGGCACACAAATTGTAGTTTTAAATCATTAGCTGATATTCCGATGAAATATATCACATAAACATATCAACAGCCTATATACCTGCTGAGCAAAGCCTCTTCTCACACGGAGAAGGTTTGAGCATAAATCACCACACTTGCTCAATGCGGGTTGGCGATTTCAAACTTAAAATTGCAAATTGTAAGGCCAGGTTTCCTCACGACACGATGCTTTTCCTTCACTGTTTGTCAGTGGTGTCTAAATAATCTTAGAAAGTACATATAACTCGGAAAAAGTCACATTTGTACTTGCCGTGGGTAAGTTTCGAATCCGCACCCTCATGCATGAGAAGCGAGCGTCTTAAGCTTCCGTGCCACCACGACGAAATATACCTCCTATAGGTAGTACTAAGCTAATGACTAGTAAATTCATGAACAATGA